AAAGACCAGGACAACGCCACTTCACCCACAGTTTGATGGGATGGTAAAGTACAACTGGACACTGGGACAGGAATTGGCAAAGTTTTGTAATAGCCGCCAAGATGACTGGATGTTTTACTCCCTCCACTGTTGGTGGCCTATAGGACAGCAGAGCATGAATCCGCTGGATACACTCCAGCAAAGTTGATTTTTGGTCGGGAACTTTGGGTGCCAGTGGACCTGTTAACAGGATGCCCACTTTATGAAGAGTTGCCTGAGAATGTGTCAGAGTTTGTGAAAGTGTTATCGGAAAGAATGGATGATATTCACCATCAAGTGCGTTCAAACTTGAAAACGTCTGCTGATTCGATGAAGTTATCTTTTGATAAGAGATCTACTGAAGTCAGCTTTGAACCAGGAGACAAGGTGTGGTTGTATAATCCCAGGAAGACCAAAGGAAAGTCTCCTAAGTTGTCTTCTCTATGGGAAGGCCCATATGACATAGTGACTTTCCGGGTAAAATGTGGTCGGCGAGGTAAGCCAAAAGTGGTGCATGCCAATAGGCTTTGGCGTTATCATGGTCCAGGACATTTCAGTTGGGACGAAGTGGACAACAGAACAAACGATGCTGCTAAAGACGTGCTACCTGTAGAAGCCACCGTCAAAGGAAGAACTCCTCTCAGTTTTGAGAAGAGAAACGGTGAAGCTCTTGATGAAGTTACTGCCATTGATGTGACTGTTATCGACGATAGGACATTTTCTGATGAAGCAGATGAATCCCATATGAAGCAGAAGCCAACGAGACGCAGACCAGTACCGAAGAAGATACGTCCTGTAGAATTAAAAGACTTTGTTGAATTGTAATTTTGTGCTTGTAATTCTGTACATTGAATTAAGTTATTGTTAATTGTTATTGGTTTATTGTAAGTGGCTATTGTTCGGGACGAACAATACTAAGGAGGGGCAGTGTTGCGTCAGCGAGGTCACGTGACTGGTATCACGCCACCTGTTTTCTAGAAATATCCTGTTCCTTCGTGAATGCCCTAGCATTTACTAGATTGGGGGTAGACTGGTATATATAAGATGGTCACAACGTGACGGGAAAATGTGTAGGTAATGAGTAATTGAACTGCAGTTAGAGAGTGTGTAATTGAACGGAGTTGAAGTCGAGCACGTGAGCGTTTGATTATCGAGCGACTGTTGAAATTAAGTGTATCGGTAAAGTTGCATTCGGAAAGAATAAAGCAGTTTTATTT